ACCACGACCACGACCACGACCACGACCACGACCACGACCACGACCACCACGACGAGGACGACGACGACGACGACCACCACCCCCGCCACCACCACCACCACCACGACCACCACGACGACCACGACGGCCACGACGACCACGACGACCACGACGACCACGACGACCGCCACGACGACCACGACGACCGCCACGACGACCACGACGACGACGACCACCACGACCACGACCACCACCACCACCACCACGACCACCACCACGACCACCACCACCACCACCACCACCACCACCACCATGACCACGACCACCACCACGACCAGGACCACGACCAGGACCACGACCAGGACCACGACCACCACCACGACCACCACCACGACCACCACCACGACCACGACCACGACCACGACCACCACCACCACCACCACAACCACCACAACCACCACAACCACCACGACGACCACGACGACCACGACGACCACGACGACCACGACGACCACGACGACGACCACGACGACCACGACCACGACCACGACGTGCACGACCACGACCACGACCACCACGACGACGACTACTACTGCTTCTACTGATGGTTGGGCTGAGATAGATGGTAGTGGGTGGGATGCGACCAAGCAGGTTCCGACCCTACAGTTCCAAATGATACGCAGTGAAAAATGAAAGCTTTCAAACTAGCCACTGGTCTTGTGGTAGCCAATTGTCTGGCCCTTGGTCTCCGTGTTGATTTCTTCTCCAACAGTCTATCTTTGTATGGCTATGTGTAATTATGTCGTCAGTCAATAGTCAAAACAGTTCTAGATCATATCGAACCCAACCAATCACTAATATGGATGTTTTGTTCTATTTGGTTGTCATGAAGCAAGCTGAGCCAGACTTTTAGGCGCAATGTTGACTGTTGACCCGGCCAATACCCGTTAATTTGCACGGAAGTGTGGGCTTGCGTTGTTCTATTGGGCCGTGTTTGTATGCAGCAAATGATTTATGCGTTGTCCTCAAGTTATTGCAAGGACTTCAAACCCTTGCAAGCTAAACTGCAGCTTCTGAACAACTCCTTGTAGATGCGACATTTCTTCCTCCGCCCTCCTTCTCCTTCGCCTCCTCCTCCAGACCTCCACCGCAAGTGCAGGATGGCAGTGTTCTCTGCCGGACCTCAACCGCCAGCTCCGTGTGGCAGGGTTCCGGACCTCAACCGCGAGCTTCGGCCCCGCCGGACGTCAACCGTGAGTCAGAAGATATGCCAAATAGAACGCCAGAAAGAATGCCAGAAAGAATGTAAGAAGATATGCCGGCAATAATGCCAGAAAAGATGCCGAAGTAATGTTTCAATACCTGCCAGAAACTTTGTCAGATTGAAATGTCATGGTGGGGACCACTCGAAGTAAAGTAATTTCCGTGGTACTTGAAGCTTGGCGTGCTTTGTTGCACTGCATCAGGCTGCCAAAACTATTTCATTGCCCTGACCTGCAAAACATGTCAAACAACCTCACTTCACATTAATCAACCTCAGTTGACTGGAAATTGACCCCGGGATATTATTATCCAAGCAACTTGGATCGGAACCACTGTATCGCAAACTTAATGCACAGTTCAACCGCTGCAGAAACCACCTGGACGTGCGTGCAGTCACTGGAAAACAAAGATGCTTTGTCATTGAATCCATTTAACCTTGATGTCCTGACATCGGTTTCATTGATCTTAAAGTCTTGAAAATCGTTCCCTTTCTCGGGAGCTCCTCAATGGTTGGGTGAACCATGAAAACATTTTCCTTTCCCAGAACAATCAGAATACTTTGCTCTTAATGTTTATGTTTGGGCCATGAATGGCTAAACTACATGAATGCCTCTACTTGTTTCATCTCGAGTCGCTGAGAGGAAGCCAACTTGTTGGACCCAAATGATGACGACTATGAAGAACAGCTGGAAGCAAGGTGCGGGCACATTGGACAAGATCAAGACGTGTTTTGTTTGCGCTTTGGTTGGCTATTGTGACAAGACACTCTGAACAAGATTTCAACATTCGCTCACATTTTGGTTCTGTGATATGTTTCAAGATATGGCACGCCTTTAGTGTTGACGCCCTGGACCGTAGGCCCAATATGCGAACTCCTTTTGCACCCCTTGCCACCAAATGGAGTTGTTTCAATTAAGAGCTCTTGCTATACAAAGGATTGGACCTCTTTAGAAGGCACTCAGTATGTCTTCAAACAATTTGGCTTCGAGGCATTCGTATGTTTGGGCATCCACATGCCTGTTGCCTATTTTTGACCAAAGTCGGGACTGTTCTGAAAGTAAACCCGTGATTGGGCTGCAATGAGGAGGAAACAGTTTACTGTTGAGGTTTTCAGTCGGAGAAGCCGGCCACGATGGGCTGGTGGGGTACCGTGGGGCCGCTGTGTGGGCTTGGACAGGTCCTAATTGCAGGAGAAGGAGAATGGAATATTGATGGGTATATTATATATATAGATATTGAGTCGATATGGGTCGTTGGATTCATCCTTGTGACCCTTGTGGCCCTTGCGCTGGGTCTTTACTTGGGATACAGTATGACTGATACAGTAATGTGTACTGTTGATAAGATTTGGTCCAGCTGCTGTGCCCATGAGGCTGTTGCCGCTAGCCAGGCAGAGGAAAGAAGAGATGGAACAACAGCAGCAGAAAGAGAAGAGAACAAGTAAGGAGGGCGCTTCGGCAAGTCAGAGACACAAAATTACTATTGTGTTGTCAGCAGCCTGAGAAGTGGAACCATACATACAGGGCTAAGAGCCTATACAGCCTATACACAATGACTAATAAACAATGAGATTTGCTGATTGTGCAGAAGTTCACATTTTGAGTGTTAGTGCAGTCTGGTTAAGCTTTTGACGCAGTGCAGCTGGACAGCTTGCAACTTGCATCGGTACTTGCTTGTATTTTTCGATTCCGATGCAGGAACAGTCTCAGCAAGAAAATTCACCTCTACCCGCTATTCCTCCTGCCACAATTGCAGGCGCTTGCGTGTCTCTGAGAGCCGTCGATGACACGCAAAGCATTTCGGTGATCGCGCTGGAACTTTTTGTTCAGGAACAGAGATCCAGTTGGTTCCTATGAGACAACAAACATTAGCATGTAAATATAGAGGCAGCTGTTATTTTTCGGTGGACAACTGGTCAATATCGATTGTTTGGCTGTTCAAACTCAGGCCTTGGTGGCCTTGGGGAATGTGTCATTGCTGTTGCAGGCTACGGTGTGGTGGGCCTTACGCGGGGTCACCGTGTGCGGCGACGTTTGCAAGCCTTGAAGAACAGCTTGGCGATCACCTTAGGTCGGCTGGCGAAGGACGTTCTTGAAACCTGCAAGCGGAGTAAGAACATATCGTAATAAGGTATGAGTCCGGCATGAGCATCGATTTTTCAAAAGCTTGTAACCACTATAAAGGACAGGATTTGGTTACTTTCACATCTATAAGGACTTATGAATATATATATATATAGAATGTTTCTTGCGGAAGCCGAAGTTGGACAAGCTCAGCCCGCTTCTGTCTCCAGAAACATGGATTGATGCATTGGCGTGGGACGATTGACATCCATTGTCATGTGTCCTGCAAGAAAGGAGTCCTCAACACAGGATTGAAACAACTCCACCTTGCTTGTGACATACAATGATAGTGACCAGCATTGCAGGATGGGACGCTGGTGGTTCTATGGCCTGGCCTCCCTCTACACCCAGTGTTGTTCTTCATAGCAGGCCAGAACAAAGCGCCAAACTGATACACATGGCTGATCGGCAATTTCGAGCGGCCAGTTTAGCCAGCTTGGCCAGCTTCCCGTAGAGTCAGAGTCCTGTTCATTCGTTCCCAGTTTGACTCTGACAAATCAATGAAGAAAGCTCTTCAAGTCTCCTCCTTTTTCTTCTGAAGAACTCAGTGTGGATTAGTGCCAAAGAGTCCTTGATTGACAAAGTCTCGAATGTGTAACTAAGTGGGCCTGCATCAGTATTAATAAGACAATGCCCAAAATGAATTAGGTGGCATGAATCGCATGGTAAACTATGGATCTGGAGGTTCTCTTCGCCCGCTCTTTCAGCGTGTGCACGTCTTTAGCCCAGAAGGCCGGGATTCTGATAAGCAACTTGGCGCTTTGTTTTCGTGCTCTAGGCTGCCAGTTTTTCATTCTTGTCTTGGATAACACCCCCTGTGCAGTACAAAAAGACCTGGCAAAAGGCGACAATAGACATTGCCTGACACCTAAACAACGACCAAATAGCCGGAAATGCCGCTGCATCAACCGCTGCTTGGCTGGAGCAAGTAAAGAGGATCTGAAGTTGAGCACATTCTGATTTGAACGATATATAACAAATATAGTGTGGTAGATTATTCATACACAGCTTCTAATCGAAGAAACACAAGGTTTAAAGGATCTTAGTTTTCTCTCAATATCCAGTAACCGGGTTGGCTAAGTCTTGCAGAGGAATATCATTTGAACAGCTAGCTAGACTGCTCAAGCCTGACGAATGATTCTCCAATTTCAGAAAGAGCTGCCTGGAAAGAAGCTGCATAGCGCTTCGGTTGAGTCTGAACCAGGACGAGTCTGATATGATAACATTTACCGCATTCCACTAGGTGAAAACAAGCTCCAAATTGATATTGGCCGAGCAAAGCTGATTCAATGCAGCCCTTTGGGCCCTTTGTTGATGATTGATGAGTTCGATCAATGATCTCAGTGATGGCTCGCACCATTCGATCATAGCAAAGGCTTTTGAAGCAAAGCACAGCGAGGAAGCCCTACAAACAAGCACGTACAAGCTTCGTGCTGCCTTTTGTTTGTGCTGCTCTTGCACTTTCTAGCAGGGCATTGCTGTTCTAATTCTGACTACCCAACTCAATGACAGATGGGCATGGAGTGGGTGGATGAATGCATGGACGGACGGAGGGATCGATGAAGTTCTGACGTTGCCGTAGGCTCCAAGACCTTCGAAGTGTACATCCTCGCGGCTGGATACAAACGTGAGAAAGCTGACAGCAAAGTGCCTGGAATGGGTGGGCTAGATACCCGGCAGTGCATTTGCAACCATCGCAGATTTGTATGCATTGTTGTTGCTTTTTTTGTACTTTTTAAACAGCGCATGAGTTGCACTTGCTTGTCTTGTCTTTACAAGAGTCACTTCCCAAGCGGCACATGTTCAATCGACGTAAGGAGCTCAGAAGCTTTTTTTGAAGATACCTGGAGGCTGTGCAAGGAAAACATGATCTATGTTGCTTACAACACTCGTCCTCACAGACGATACTTTGGTTGAAGAGTTGATCAAAGATTACAAGTCCCTTTTGACCGCAGAAGAAACCCAGCACATCCCAGCACAGAGAAAGAGTTGGATATGGTTGAGGTGTGACGGATTGGATGATGTGCTGTTGTGGACCCTGGCACCTATGGCCGAAGATGAGGAGACCAACGTGGGTATCACAGGCCAGAGAGGTTAGAGCACCATAGTGGACAAGTAGAATGCAATATTTGCACCTCTTTGTGCACTTGCCTTGTAGACCGACAACACCTATGCTACAAGGAGTATTATTCTGCGTGGTAGCGGCTGAACAATTTTCCATGCAAACCACAGTAGAGATGTAGAGAAAAATTAGCATCGTGTCAGTCATACTCACCTGACTGCAGCCCTTTTGTGAATCAAGAAAAGATGCGTATGGTAGCGGAGCTAAGAAGGAGGTAACCCCTCTGGAGCTCTAAGTGAAAAGCCCCTAGGTCACTGGGATTTGGGGCCTTTGCAACCCAAACAGCTGGACTGGTGAACAGTTGTTGTAAGCAACACTCTGTACCCAGTACATTGTGTCAAGGAGACATTAGTACGAGGAGAAGATGGAGGAGATCAGGCACAGAGTACGCTGGCAACAACATCACAAGCTGAGGCAGTGAAGAAAGCAGATGAGGACAAGAAGCCATCAGCGCAAGGCCAACTGTATGAGTTGTCACTGATGCTCCTCCCGAAGATGAATGGGTTTGATCACTTGCTACGTGTCGAATATGGTTCCTCCAACAGTCTTTAGCAAGATGTCCTGGCTTTCCACAAGTGTGACATGTTGCTACACCTTTGCCTTTTCGGCCATTGCCTTTACCTTTTCCTTTCTTGCCTTTGCCCTTGGCATCTTTACCTTTGCCTTTCTGTTGGTCGTTTTTACCCTTCTTACCTTTTCCTTGGGCAGTTTGGACTCGATCAACATCCATTGGCATAGGCCCTTGATAGTCTGTACTGCTACTTGCCATCATGGAAGTAGCCCACTTCTGCTGAGATCTATCCCATTGCAACACTTACTCCCTCAAAGTTGAGTATTGACTATTGTCGCCAATTGTCAAGTTCAAGTATGGATTGAGTTGTCCACCTACACATCTCGAAAGAATGGCAGATTTCAACTCTTCAAAAATTTGTAGTTCCTGACTTGGCTGTCTCATCAAATACTTCTTCAAGCTTCAAGAGTTGAGGTTGCAATGCCCTGTTCATTGAAAATGCTGGCCATGTAGTGGCTGCCCCCAAGAGTGGCAAGCCTCTCGCCTTTGAAGTTGGTTTCAATCTTTATTCAAACTCCTGCAGGCATCAAATCCATTGGAGTCTTCCACAGCTTTCACCAATTGCGGTGCCCTTCCTCTCATCAATGAAGCTAACAATCCATAGAGCTTGATGCGCCTGGTCTTCTCTGCCTCAGTTGCCAAGTCCATGTCAAATTTGTCATTTGGCTTCTCATGAATTTCCTTCAGGTCCTTCATGTAGCCTTCATCAACTGCACTCAAAAACTTCTCAAAGACCCATGACCACTCTCTGAATGCCTTGATCTCTTCTTGAGAGAGAGGCAAGAATTGAATGGAAGAGAATGGACTGTGGTGGCAAAGTGAGCTGAAAGAAACATTTTAGGGTCTCACATCGCCAAGAAGGAGTGCGAACCATTTTCCATGTAAGCCACAGTAGAGATGTACAGAATAACCAGCATTAACCAGCATCATGTCAGTCATTCTCACCTGACTGCAGCCCTTTTGTGAATCAAGAAAAGGTGCATTATATTGCGCGCACGCATGTATATATATATATTTACATTATAGAGGGGGTCGTTTTTGATACACTGCCCTTGGTCCTGGGTGGGGTGGAGTGGGTTGGGGGTGTGGAAGTGGGGGTATTGACGTGCTTGCAGCGATGTAAGGATGCAGTTATACGTAACTTGCTGTGCTTTCCTTTGTGTATTACAACATACTACAATGTACTTCTTTCAATTACGCTTACTTCTATGCAACGTCCAAATCTACTGTAAATACAAAAAACAGTTCAGGCAATGACCTTCAAACCGAAGGATGAACACTTTCCCGCAGGTTTTTTAAATTAAAGAAAATTGCGTGTTGAATTGCAATGTCTTGTGAGCTTACAGTAGGAACAATTATCGTGGAAAAACTCTTGGCTGACTTTCGGACGACTGCAGATCATTTGTCATCAGACCTTCAAGAGCACTTTTGGAGCTTTTTTCTCCCACTCCTAACAAAAATGAGCGCTTCGCTATTGCGATGCGCTGGACACAGGCATCTTCCTTGGGAAAATGGAAAATTGGAAACTTGTTGCGCCGGCGAGACACTTCTGAAACTTATTTTCTGTAAATACCAACAAAAAATCCACGGACAAGAGAACGATCACAAAACACGAGAGCACGGTTGCAGGGCGAGGTATCAGACGCGTCCTTTTTTGTTGCTAGACTTAGAAGCTCCATGATACAGGAGAACCGGGGAAATGTTTGCTGGGCAGGTTGCTCTGCGTAGAAGGCGTTGGCCAAGTCCCTTTGCGTTGTTTGTTTTTTTGGCCATTCTTGAATGATCCTTTAACAATAGGCTCACTCAAAGGTGAGTAGGATGTCAAACGATCGGATCTTCTGTTTAGGATCGTTTAGCATTGCACTGATTCAATGCATTCTGTTTCTATTTAGCGCTCAAGACTTTGAGAGGCAAAGGTTTGATCTTGGGCTACACGCAACTCTGGAAGACCTGGGGAACAAAGCTGACATCTTTGGCTTTGGACCTTGGCATGCTGCTGGGCCAGGACCTTGTGCGGGGTTGATCTGGAAAGGGCTCTGAGAATGCATAGACAGTAGGCAGAAGTAGATCCAAGTTTCTGTGCTATTTTTTTCTGGTTCACCGGCATGTACACGCGCTTGCGCTCGTCAAAGACCAAGACTGAGAAGAGTTGCAGTTTTCTTGCCAAGCTGGCTTCATTCCTCCCATGTTATTGAATTGCTCCTGCTCTGGTAGACAGCGCAACTGGGACGACTTTAACTTGCTGGTTCACAACAAGGATGCCTTGGCCTTGCTTGTTTCTTCCCTGAAGTCCGGAGTTCTATTCAAGACACTTCGCGTCGACAGCCGCCCACACAGCGCACGAACAGTCGAAGTTAGTGAAATGGAAGTAGCCATCTAGGCGCCAGGTTGGGGACAAGTGCAGCCATCTAGGCGCCAGGTTGGCTGTCTTACAGCTGCATCTTGGGGCCAACTTCGTCTACCTTGGGGCCCATAATGGTGATATAACTTCGGCCTTGCCAAAAGCCATCCAAAAATACACCTCCAAAACGCTCTCCCCAGTGGCCCTGCAGCCGAGCAAGAATCAACGCAGCAACCACACCAAAACACAACAACTCCTCCAAAACGCTCTCCCCAGTGGCCCTGCAAGCAGGACGTAACGAAAGATCATCCAAAAAGGTACTTCCAAAACGCTCTCCCCAGTGGTGTTGCAGCTCAACCATAGCCACGCATGCGCGAAAAAAAGGTGCCAGGTTGGCTGTCTTACGGCTGCGTTGGAGCCATCTTGGGGTCAACTTTGTCTACCTTGGAGCCCGCAATGGATGGTGATACAACTTCGGCATTGCCAAAAGCCATCCAAAAATACACCTCCAAAACGCTCTCCCCAGTGGCCCTGCGAGAACGACGTAACGAAAGATCATCCAAAAATGTACATCCAAAACGCTCTCCCCAGTAGCGCTGCAGCCCGACCATAGCCGCGCACGCGCGAAAAAATAGCCCCCCTAGCAATGGCACGACCTGTACCGACAAGCGGTGTGGGCGGATTTCCTCCTCATAGAGTCCAGCCGTCCAAAATCTGTTGGACTTGAGCTACCTTGAGCGGACCTGCGCGCCAGAGGCTGCCATCTCCGCAGTCCCGTCGTGAGAAATGAAGGTATGAAGAACCTCAGTCCCCACAATGGACATCGCGCATTGATAGAACCACTGGAAAAGCTGAGAACAAACCACGCAACAATACCCTTCCCGAGCTTTGGTACCAAGCTTGGATGGTCCAAACTCTTGAGGCTGTCATGAAACTGAATGTGGCCCGCTGTGGCTCCAAGGAAAACAAGCAAGTCCGCTTCAGAGGAAGTCAGAAGGTGCCTCGAGAAAGTCACCCAACCAATATATTTCTATCGGCGGCTTGATCTTGATTTGGAAAACCGTTCGTCCTTGGACAAAGTCTCCGCCATTCTGCTGCGGACAAAAAGGTATGTATTCCGCTCGATTGGCAATGTACCGCTTCCAGGATGATGGTATGGCAAGTCCAACTTCAGGCCAAGTGCTTAGCCTTGTGGAATGACCAGTAAAGCTGCTTTCCAGCAAGGAGATTTCAGCTCCTGAGTTTGTTGCCTGACATATGTTTCACAAGGTCATTTTCTCTAAGTCATAAACCTTCCGCCACCTCGTCTTGATGAGGATCCCTGGCTTTTTACGTTGGATGTTTGAAAAGAACATAGTTCTTCATTGGGGTAGGTAGTGCCGTGCCCGTTAAGGCAAGAAGTCGACCAGAACAAAAGCAGCTCGAGCCAAGGCAGGAATGTTTCCACAACAATAATTAATTATCCTCTCACGTTTACAAATCTCACTTGTTTTCTGATTTTGACATCATTTCTTACCCATTCGTCGTCCCTCGCAAGTGTCCTAGTCTTGCAGGGGACGTCAACACCATACGGACTGCAGCTGGGGCACGTTCCTCTCACTCACTCACTCACTCACTCACTCACTCACTCACTCACTCACTC